CTAATACACTTGTTTTTAGAATATAAATGCTGACGTATTTCGCATACATTTGTAGCTTACTTTCAAATGGTTTAAAAAACAACAAGAGGGGAGATAGAGCAAACATGGAAATAAGTAAACAATTGGCGATACAGATAAGAGTATACAAGAGTTATTTGTATTTTCTTGCAACTTTTCTGAAAGTTTGAAATAATTTCATCATACTATCAGCAGAAAAATAAAAATAAAAATGAACGCACAAACAATCGAAAAGAACAGATTAGGGGACTAAAAAGATGATTGTCAGTAAAGCCCACCGAGCCATAGAGATGTACAAACCTAGGGCCATCGAGGCATTTCCAAGGCACAGGGTTTCCCAGGCTACACGTATTTATGGGTGCAGACAGTCTCATCTTTCTCCCTCGAAGCAGCTGGTGGGTTTGACCCTCAGATTTTATGGTGAACAGCTTACCTGGGCTCCTGGGTTCATAGGAAGCATACATAAAAAGGCATTGTGGCTGATGCTATTATTATTTTTCAGATGGTCTATCTCTATCACCTCATCTCACATAAAGAGAATTGTAATGTTGTCATTTTCAAACCTCATCTCCTTTTAGTTTGGTAGCATGATATCAGCTTCATCCTGTTGTCATTAAGAACCTAAATTGTATACAGTGTAATTACAAAATAATGATGAAGGCTCATACAGCAGATCTAAGACTGATATTGCCGGTCTCCACAAAGTGTTTTAACTTCTTTGACATTCAATTTCTCTTTTTGTAAAATAAGGAAACTACTGATACACACACACATTCTCTCTACGAACCAAGTTTGCTATTAGATTGAAAAATGTATTTTGAATCTGTTTCAGTACTGTACAAAAGTGATATAAACCTGAGGTAAAACGTGTCTAGTTCATACAATCACACACACACACACACACACATATACAAGATGATTGGGAGCTGTGAGGGACCAGTGGGGCTTCCTGATTGCAGCCATCATTGCAGGGATGAGAAGGGGCTTGGGGCTCGGATGCTAGGATCTTTTGGTCCTGCCTCTAGGAGGCCTGGGTGCATAGTGGTTACACTTTGGGCTGCAGAGCACAAGATCAGCAGTTGAAAACCAGCTGCAGCTCTGTTCCTGTAAACAGTTACAGCCTCAGAAGTGCCTCATAGGACACTTCTACCCTGTCCTATAGGGTCACGATGAGTCGGAATCGACTCGATGGCGTTGAGTTTGGATTTGGGTTTCCTGGGTGCTTACTCTTCAGTTCTCCTGCCTGCAATTGAAGACCAGATAATTTGCAGCCAGACACCCTGATCTCAGAGCACCCTGTGATTCATTCCAGGGAAAGAGTCACCAATCTTTTCCTGGGTCTGAAAAAGTTATTACTTGGCTGTAAATAGTAGGGGGATCTGGGAATCTAATAGTTTCATTTAAAAAAAAAAGATTATTGTAACAAAATAGATAACTTACCAATTCAGTCGTTTTTTAAAATTCAATCGTTTTTACTTATACAATTCAGTTATATCAATTACATCCATCATATTCTGCAGCTCTCACTAATATCGTTGACTAATTGTTCCATCACCATAAACAGAAACTCAATCCTTTCAAAACAACGAATCCCCCTTCCCCCTCACCTAGTCTAGGTATTTCATATTACTGAGATCACACAATATTTGTCTTTTCATAACGGATATACTTTATATAACATAAGGTTTCCAAGATACAATTGTAGCATGAATTAGGATTTCATTTCTCCTTATGGCTGAGGAACATTTCCCTGTTATTCATCGATTCATCTGCTTATGTTTATTCACATTTTATTTGTACATTCATCAGTTGATGGACATTTGAGTTCCGTCTTCTTTTTTGACCACCGTGAACAGGGCTGCAGTGTCTGCTTTGTGTCGCTACTTTCAAGTGTCGTGGGTATAAACCTACGAATGGAATTGCTGGGCTCAACTGCTTCTTTAACAACTTGTTAAGTCTCATCCTTATTTCAGCCTTCTCCTCCCTCATGCTTTCCAACTCCTCAACCTTTTGAGGGATATTTTTGGTATAAATTGAGTTAGTTCTCAGTATTTTTGTTGCTACCAGATTAGGATTCAATTCTTTGGATCCTGCTAAGACGCTCACTTTCCCGCTTTCAAACTTGTTCCTATTTTCTCCTCTCCCACTTCCTCATCTGGTAGTTTATGCCTATTAAAAATTCTACTTATTCTCATTTTAGGTGGAGTTATGGGTGTTCAACCATGACTTTAAAGAGGCGGCCTTTGCACAAATCTCTTTGTATTCTTGATTACTTCCTTTGGATAGCATCCCTAAAGTGGAATTATTGGGTGGAGTCTACAATTCTTTTTAAGGTTCTTGATGAACTTTGCCAAATTGTTTTTCAATAGGATTATGTTCTCACCAAGCTTCCATGACTTGTTTCTTTTCCTGCATGTATGCCCGCCTTGGGTGCTGTTGCCTTGTCTCATCAAATCTATTTGACTCGTAATGACCCTACGTGTGACACCGTAGGAGGGCTCCACAGGGTTTTCCTGGCTGTAATCTTTACAGAAACACATCATCAAGACTTCTCTTCCATTGGACAGCTGGGTAGATGTGCAATGTCAGTCTTTCAGCTACCAGTGGAGTGCAAATCCTTTGCACCACTCAGGGACCTTGCCTTGCGTAGGATCATTTTAAAATAAAACCTTAAAATAATTATTTTGACAAGGGGATTATTAACTTACTTTGGGCCCAATTCCCCTTCAGAAATGATTTTTGTGTAGAGAAGTTCCCAATCTGGGCAGGAGGCACAAAGGTAACGTAAGCGCAATCAGAGAGGAAGGGTGGAGGAGGAGGACCAGAAGATACACACATAGATTCGATGGCAAGGAGGGGCACTTCGACTGTTTTCCACTATGGTAGGGGTAGCCCTCATACTTGTATAGGCACATTTGGGATATGGACAAAATAACTAAAAGAGGGGGGGAAAGAGCAGTGACAATGAAAATGATGCAGTTATTCTTCTAGTCAATGATCATTACCCTAGAATAAATCCCAAATGGGAGAGCTGAGTTTTCTTTTTCCTGACGCTAATTCAATTTCCAGGTGTTTGAAGAAATATGTTCACCACCTTGTTACACAAGTAATGATTAAGTGCTGTGAGATATATATTTTGTTTTGTTTAGCACAGCTGTTATATACAAGCCAACCTCTTTATCTGGTTCCAAACCAATTTATGCTGCATGATTTAAAAAATGATTTGTCATTCTTTCCAACATACAAAAGCAAGACAAAATAGTCTGAGAGCTCCTGTGTAGCCATCAGCTAGCTTCCCTTAGTGTTAACTGTTTATTGTGCTATAGTAAAATTATTGGAACGAAAAAATTAACATTGATAAAACACTATTTACGAATCTACAAACTTTATTTGAATTTCACTTCCTGTCTCACTTAGAAAGAAATGCAACGCCTGACATCCAGGAGTAGAGCTGATTCTATCACCAGGTTTTGGTGTTGTGTGGAGGTGGCTTGCCCCTCGCAGCAAGGCGCTGGTGTTCTGCAGGACATGAACAATCTCACAGAACAACATTAGACAAGGCCACTCTGGGATTGTGATGGATCAAGGTGAAATTGGATGACTTCCAATCACGTCAAAATACTGACAAAAGAATTTTGTCTAAGCCGCAAAAGGGACCAAACCTCCCCCACCTTCACATCCTGGCAAGTAAACTTAACTTTTACTTCTTTGCTAATTGCAATTTTCTGCTTGCTTCTTCCTGTCCTAGAGAAAATATTTCTTTTTATTGTTGCAAAATAGACACAGTACTTGCCATTGTGTACCATCTGGTAACATTAATTAGGCTCCTCTGTTGTATAACTATTACCCTTAATAGAAACTCGGTGTCCTCCAGTAAGAAGTCCCCTTCCCCTGATGTCTAATAATCACTAAGACTTATCTCCATGTATTTGCCTATAGTTGAGATTTTTGTGTGAGTTTTAAAAAATTCTTTCTTTTCTTCTTAGGTTAATAATTTATTTTTA